CATAGATAGATAGATAGTGTTATATACCGTACCTATGAACATTAATGGATATGTCCCAATCCTCATTAATATGTTGGACTCCATTGTAAATCGACGTAATATGATGTCTAAGTAGTTAACCACTAGTTTACCTAATTCACGCCGCTGGCGAGCATTGTATTTTGTTGATGTTATAAAGATTTACTATTTCATTTGCAACCTCAGTTTTGATAATTCCTCATTCAGTAACCCTTTCTAGATTACAACAATAACCAAGCCTCAATATACTCATCTGTTTTATCCAAAAGAGCGAAGAAGAGTAATTTTAATTAAAAAAATTCTTGAAACCATCTTTTCTTCCAAAAATATAATAATTGCTTCTAGAAGTGTAATTATAGTTCATTATCTATCTATCTATCTATCTATCTATCTATCTATCATTATAAATAGATATTGGTCAGAGTTGTATTAGACCAGGAAATAGTAGTATTAAAACTGGTTAATACACGTATAAATACAATAAAATGCAATAAAATAAAAAGTTAATATCCGTTTAAATAGATTAGCCGATCACGCTACCTTGGTTTGGACTGCTATTTATGCTTCTATATCGAATTTATTTGGCATTTAAAAATGACCTCTTTTCTAAGGTTAAAATTTTAAAATTAAAAAATGAGGATAAAGTTCACCCAATGTTCGAGAGTCACTGAAGACGAGGTTTTTGATATAAATGTTAGAAACGGTTGTGGGAAGTAAAAACGGTGATAAAGAGGATAGATACCGATTGATCCTTGACTTGAAGGGGTCAAGATTGTAGTATTCAGGAAAGCATCCACGCAGGAGCATATTATAATGAATAACCAAACAAGTAAAAAAAAAAAAAATGGGGGAAATGAGGATAATTCGACTCCGTAGATGTAGCATGTTGTGTCCTTATTGTAAATGTCTGGATTGGTTGCACTAGTGAATGGATCTCAACAAAGCAATAATAATATTTAAAAATGAATTTATGAATAAACATGTAATTAAAAAAGCTGTAAAAACAGATATAAACCAAAAAATGAGATGAATAAATATATGAATAATTTATTAGAAAATAATAGAATACATTTATTAATATATTTTTCTTCACTGGGGACTTCGACATCGTGTAACGGTAAGCAAGCCTGCCACATTTGATGCATTTCGACTTAGCCGAATTCGATCCTCACTGTGTGCTTCAAACTTTCGATATTGGGGTACTGTTGTAGCATACCTACGGACGATAATGGGTATGTCCCCATTCGCATAAATACAGTAGTAAATACTGTATGTTGGTCTGCAGATGGAGATTCGTCTACAGCTGTGCTGGTCAAACTCTCTACCTCCGGGCAGAGAGGATCCCCAGACGAGGCTATGTCGAAGGACAGTCTCGTCTCGGGAAACAGCTACACGACCCCGTTTTAAACGGGGTCTAAGGGGAATTTTTGGCCGAGCCTACGGGCTCGGATACCCCACATTAAATTCGGCCTTGTGCTAGATCTGACCGCGTGTAGCGATTGGTTGATATCCTGCAGTTTGATATTCATTTTGGAATTCACTTGATTCACTTCTAGCAGTTGACTACTTCTTGTACGCGCCGCTGGCGAATCTTATATGTGTTGTTCTTGTCCTTAGTATTATCGCTCATTACCAACCTTTCTTTGATTATTCTATTCAGTAACCTTCACTAGGATACAACCGGTACATCTAAAGTGTGCTAAGTAAATCGGGACATATTACGTGGTGTAATGGCTAACAAGTTTGTCTTGCTACATCAATTAAGATGTGAGTTCGACCCTCACTGGGTACGCCATACATTTAGTCTTGTGCCACATCTAAACTACGCTTAGTAAATCACTATATTTTTCTTCTCTGGGCAATTCGATGTGGTGTAATGGTTAACAAGCTTGTCCGGCTAGATCTGTTTCAACTGATTATTGAGTCCGATCTTCACTCGGTGTTCCATACTGCGCTGAATAAATCGGGTCACTTCGACATACTGTAATGGTTAACAAGCTTCTCAATTTCGACTGAGTTCGATATTAACTCGGTGTTATGAAACAGCTTTCGGTCTTCTGTCACTTCTAAGCTGAACGTTGTAAATCAGATCACTTCGACACGTTGTAATGGCTAACAAGCTCGTGTCGCTAAATCAGTTACAACTCAGGAGTGATTTTAATCCTCACTGGGTGCTCTATATTTGTGTCCCTGAGTCAAACCTAAGCTATATTTTTCTTCTTTTGAATTGCCATTTGTGGCGATTATATCTTTTCGACCTGTGCATTTTCCTTTTAGTTGAATAAACATGTCTTTTTAAGAGAATTAATTAAATTATGTGCTTGCAATAAAACTTTTAATCCAATTAAAGTCGTAATTTCGATTTTAGCTACAATAAGGTATTCTTTGAATATATATATATATATATATGTGTGTGTGTGTGTGTGTGTGTGTGTGTGTGTGTGTGTGTGTGTGTGTTCAGAAATATTAGAATATGCTTTTAACACGTTTCAATCCCTCTCCTCCTAATTCGGTCATCCATTTACGCAAAGTTGTGAAGTTGGATATTCAATGCCACCCCCACCCGCCAACGCCACCATCAGTTTAAAACATTAAATATGTAATTTAAATTCTTCACAATTCAGAGACAAATTTCTGATTTTTAAATCTATATAAATATAAATATATATATATATATATATATACACATATATAATTTTATTTATATTAATAATCATATTTAATATATATTATTTTGTTATTTATTTATTTTATTTTTATTTATTTATTTTATTTATTTATTATGTAACATTAATTTATTTTTACTTGTATAATTATATTAATATATATGATATATATAATTATATTAATATATATAATTATATTAATATCGATAGATATGTCTGAAATAGATAGATAGATAGATATGTCTGAAATAGATAGATAGATATTGACTCAATAGATAGATAGACAGATATGTTTTAAATAGATAGATAGATACTGACTCAATAGATAGATAGATAGATAGATAGATATGTCTGAAATAGATAGATAGATAGATAGATAGATAGATACTGACTAAATAGATAGATAGACAGATATGTTTTAAATAGATAGATAGATACTGACTCAATAGATAGATAGATAGATAGATAGATAGATAGATAGATAGATAGATAGATAGATGCTAATATTAGCATATGCTAATATTAGAATATGCTTTTAGCACTTTTCAATGTCTCTCCTCCTAATTCTTTCATCCATTTACGCTCACTTGTGAAGTTGGATATTCGATGCCACCCCACCCCGCCACACTCACTATCAGTTTTCTGACGTTCAATATCTGTTAAATTCTTTAGGATTTCTTACCCCCTCCTCCTTTTTCTTCTAAGTGCAGCGTTTTTTGTTGTTTTTTTTTTTCATATCGAGGAGGTTCATGATTCTACACAACATTCTCTCCTTTGTATTTCCTCTTTATGTGCTTTAGAAAGTTCAATTGTCTCTAACTATAATCGCTTTTTTTTGTTTCCATTATCCTTAAAACTTCCTCATTACTCACATCTTCAGTCCATGGTATTCTAAGCATCCTTCTGTAGAACAACGTTTCTATTGCTTCAAGTCTCTTCTTCATCTCGTGATGAAAGTTTCCATTATTCACTGCCCATGAGAGAATCGATGTTTCAGTAATCTTTTCTTCTAAGATTTTTTTCTCATTTCTTAATACTTTGCTTAGCTTTTGGAAGGCGTATTTCGCTGTCTCGATTCCCCACAAAGTCTACTAACTGCTACAAAAAAAAAAGATATGTCTTTAAATGTCCAGAAATGACACAGCACGTAGAAGAATTCTATTTACACTATTTGGACTGTTATCCTTATCTCCATTGCCATATTCACAACGTTTCGACCGTTGTACGCTCATAGCATTCTTCAGGTGATTAGAATTTCGAACCGAACCCTTTATTTCGTCCAGCGGGGTAGATTGTTCTAGTTCCACGTGCCATGCCTCTTCTGGATATCTCAGTTATTTCCCTTTTAACTCTCGTCTCCAAGTTTTTTGTTCGCCGCTTTTGTCGCCTGGTATTGAACTCACATCATTTTGGGTATAATTACCGGATCTAATCAACGCCTTTATCCAATGGGCCATGTGTCCTTGAGGACAAAGGCGTATGATTTTTGAATTTCTGGGACTTATAAACCTAATGTATCAGCAACCGTTTTTACTAGTGCTCATATTGCAATTTTTTCGTCATTATTATTGCATTTTTTTTTTTACTAGAGCTTATATTGCAAATCTGTGTTGTTATTCATTGCGCGCGCTCCTTATTACTGGTTCCCATATTGTATTCATTTATATGTTTGGTCAGCTCAGGAGATTTTTGTGGCCTTGTATATGTGCTGATTCCAATCACCTGAAGAATGCCGGAGTGTACAACGGTCAAAACGTTGTGAATATGGCAATGAAGATGAGGATAATTACCTGAATAATGTAAATGATGTAAATAATCATAATAACTCGTCTCAGAGATATAGACAAGTAAGATCTAATCTGTTGAAAATAGATGGGATTTGAGATAATTCTAACCAGATGCCTCTGGTGACAATCGTTAAGGGCACGTTGTCTGTTCGTGCGCTGTTGACAAAAATACCCTCCAACCGATATTGCCGTTACGTACCTACCCTAGTTGACCGTGTAATGTCAAATACATACAACATTTTAGAAACGGAATGTCCTATCTCTCTCGTATTCATTACCTTGCCCCGTTCGAAATATTTCTCATTTTTTTTTCGGCTCAATCCTGTTTAGTCTATTTCACAGATTACCAGATCACAACTAATGTCTGGGCATTTCTGTGATATTGATATACTCTGTATGTCCGGTTCCTTGTACCACGGTGATAGTCCAAGGTAGAACCAATAAAGAAGAACTCGAACACAGGTATGGAATAACACAGATATATTACAAACAGGAATATATACAGAGAAGTAGAAGTGTTAGTATGAACAATCAGGTTTAGTAGAGAGAACAATGTAGTCTCGACCAGTATCACCATTCCAATGTCTTGCAGTAATTGTCTGAACGTGACTCTGTTTCGGACTGCCCCTGACTCGACTCTTGACTTGACTTGAACTACTGACCCCTCTTGAACTACTGACGATATTCAGTCACCCCCCCCCACGAGGGTGTCATGTGACACAAGTATTTTTTAACGTGGGCTTTAGAGCCATTAGGCTCGGCCAAAAAATAGCCCATTTGAACCCGTATAAACGGGTTCAGGGCCGGTTTTACCTCCCCGAAGGAGACTCCGCCCTTCGGCGTAGTCTCCTTCGGGTTCCTCCCGCCCGTAGGAAGAGATTTTTAAAAACCGAACAGTCGCTCAGAAAGTGAACGACTGACGATATTCAGTCACCCCCCCCACGAGGGTGTCATGTGGCACAAGGCCTTTTTAACGTGGGAATTCCCGAGCCATTAGGCTCGGCCAAAAAATAGCCCATTTGAACCCGTATAAACGGGTTCAGGGACGGTTTTACCTCCCGAAGGAACTCCGCCCTTCGGCGTAGCCTCCTTCGGGTTCCTCCCGCCCGTAAGAAGAGAGTTTAACCGAACAGTCGTTCAGAAAGTGAGCGACTGACGATATTCAGTCACCCCCCCACGAGGGTGTCATGTGGCACAAGGCCTTTTTAACGTGGGAATTCCCGAGCCATTAGGCTCGGCCAAAAAATAGCCCATTTGAACCCGTATAAACAGGTTCAGGGCCGGTTTTACCTCCCCGAAGGAGACTCCGCCCTTCGGCGTAGCCTCCTTCGGGTTCCTCCCGCCCGTAGGAAGAGAGTTGAACCGAACAGTCGCTCAGAAAGTGAGCGACTGACGACTCCTCACCCCCCACTCCTGAGGCGCAGTATTTATTACGTATGGAATAGTCCATTTATTATTATTAGGTTCAGGGCCGGTTTTATTAAGAGAGTAACACAAACAATGACATTAGGAAAAAAAAAGAACTGAAAAAGAAACAATGTCCATTAGATGGAGTATTGAAAAAACAGAAATTAAATTATTAAAAAAAAAACACAAAAAAAATGGAAGGAGAAAAATGAATGAAAAAATAAAGGAAAAAATGAAAAATGAATAAAGAAAGGAAAAAAATTAGATGAAAAGAAAAGGAAAAAAGAAAGAAAGAAAGATAGAAAAGAAAAGAAGTGTTCTATAAATGAATGAAAGAAAGAAAAAGAAAGAAAAAAAGAAAAAAAAAAGAAAGAAAAAAAAATAGAAAGGTGGAAAGAAAAAAAAAAGAAAGAAAAATGAAAAAGAAACAAAAAAGGAAAGGAAAAGAAAAATAAAAAATAAAGAAAAAAAGAAAAAAAAAAAAAGAAAAAGAAATAAAGCAAAAAATAAAAAAAAAAAAAAAAGAAATAAAGAAAAAAATAAAGAAAAAACGGAAAGGATTAAAAAAAGTAAAGAAAAGATAAAAAAAAAAAAAAAAAACAATCATTAACCAAAAAGAAGAAAAAAAAAAGCATTAAAAAAAGACAAAAAAACAAAAGTAAAGAATGAAGGAAAGAAAAAAAAAAATTAAACAAGTGAGCATTGCGCAAAGCCTCTAATCAGTTTAATCGATATACCAATCATTAGTATCGATTTTATGTCTTTGTTACTGGATCCGCCCTCAGAGGATCGATCCAGTAGAAAAAATAGTACTTATTATTTTCTTTTGTTTTTGTATTCTTTATATGGCTACAGCCGGAAAATAAGCAATCGTAACATATTGTGTTTTATTTTCATATTGGAATAAATATTTGGTCGGCTCCTTAACGTGGGCTTATTTTGCACCTTTCTTTAAGTCAATTTTTAATTGAAAATTTTTTTTGATCTTTGTAGGTGAAAAAAAGTAGTTGAACTTCGTGACCGTCTTGGGCATTTATAAATCTCTTATTCGTTCGGGATTATTGACAAAATCAAAGAAGGATTTGTAATGTTATTGGTTCTGATCTGGCATCTCAACTTCATCACTTTTCAAATTAAACCGTAATATGGCTTACCTTTTCCTTTTCTATAAATATTTTTATTTGGCAGTTATTCTAATTTTTTTCCTTCTCCTTGATAGCTCGAGGGAAAAAATGCTACTAAATTGTCTCATCGATTTACTGTTGAAATAGAAAGATGACCGTAAATTCTATTCTAATATCTTCTTTTTCGCACGTCACAATATATAAACTGATCTCTTTTGGTCAATTGTTACCCTGTCGTCAACAATCTTCAAAAATTTAAATGCGACGTCAATCGCCATCTTTTGTCCTTCTGAAATTTGTCTTTTTTATACGTTTTTCTCCTCAGTAAATCTTTGCAGTTAATTTCCACTCAGTAAACATTTTTTGTGCATTTTTTGGCATTATCTCCTTTCTTGTGTGAAATGATTAAAAGATTGATGCCACTTTAGTTAGAAACAACAAAAATATAATACCGAACTGTTATATAATATCACCTTTCCTATATGGCAGTGAATATTGAACAAACACCACACGTTAATAATAAATGATAAGATTACTGAACTGTTATATCATATCAGCTCTCCCACATGGCAGTGAATGCTGGACAAACGCCACACATTAGAAATACCCAAAAGAGTACTGAACTGTTATGCAATATTACTCCTCCTATATGGCTGGACATTTGGAACAATCTCCACAGAGATGAAGAGATTTGAAAGAACATGAATACAGAAGGATGCTGAGAATACCATGGATGGAACATATAAGCAATGAAGAAGTTTTAGAGAAAATGGAAACAAAAAGGGATACTTATACTTAAGTCAGGAAATTGTGGAGAGCTATAATCACTGACGTCCTGAAGGGACACGGCACATGAAAGAAGAACTTTAAAATTTTTTATTTTTCAATTTTATTAACATAATTTATAAAATGCAAGTACATATGCTGAATCTTTCATTTCCAAAGCAGAAAATTTATCAGAAGGATGTAAAATAATCTTTGTACAGATAAGTTCATTTAATCTTTGAAAGAAATCTAAACTAATTTAAATACGCCCGGCTTGCATCTATAGAAAATTCCGTTAAAGAAATAAAAACAGTAAAACACGATACCCGAAAATGAAAGTTGCGCACATCATTGATTACTCGAGTCGACTCGACGCATTTTAATGATGGGCTTTTCAATTCACGTGATACAATGCCCAAAATATACAGAGTATCATTATCTTCTGCATTAAGTAAAAATAAAAGTTACGAAATAAATACAAAAAAAGTATATTATCATTAGTTCTTATTTTTTTAAATGAAAATGCATCAGTGATTTTAGTTCTTTCCCTCTTCTTACAAACCTCTCGTAGCCTAATATGTAAAAAGCAACGTCTATGTCAGACAGGTTCTTCTGGTATCCAAATTGGTCAACACAAGACTATAAAGATAGGTATTCATGGGACTTTTAGAAAACATTTTTATATATATATATATATATATATATATATATATATATATATAGATAGATAGATAGATAGATAGATAGAGAGAGAGAGAGAGAAGAGAGAGAGAGTTGTGGACAGAATTATTCGTCCCAACTGAATATTTGTATATTTTCTAAGGAAATGCAAATATTTGCAAGTTTTACTGAATTTACCAGACAAAAGTTGATAGCTGTGAAAGGGCGTAATTGGACGTTCCAACATGGCAATGATCCGAAACAGACGGCATCAATTTTTTCAAAATACTTTAGATGACTGCAAAAATTCAGGTATTAACAAGACGTCGCACAAAGTTCGACCCTAAACCCCATTGAAAATTTATTGGCATATTTGAAGAAAAAAGTAAGAGAAAGCATCCTTCTAATTTGCGGTGTTTACTCATTCCCCTCCACAAGAATGAGATTCGGTCGGATTAATGTGGGGATTACGCAACGTTGTACATCCTTCTAAGTTGCAGGAACTAGGAGTTACAAGGAAGAATGAACGCAAAATACGTATAAAGTGTGTGTTGTGATCTTGTAAGGAACTATCAAACATGATTAAAGGCGAGAATAATTTACTAACAATTGATCATTGAGGCAAGAGGATCAATAATTTTGTCCCATATTAAATGTTTTTGGCTGTTTTTTATGTTATTGTTTGACATTAAAAAAAAAAAAAATGTTTTGATATCATTCACATTCTTTCAAATCCATTATTTCATATTTGTGAAAATAATGCATGAAGTTTCCATGAAGATTTAGGGATTACAGCTTTATTTGTAACCATTCTGTGAAGGATCGGGGAATAATTTCTGTCAACTATATATATATATATATATATATATATATATATATATATATATATATATACATGATAAAACTATATTTTTAAGATATGCTGTATTTATAGGCCCAAGTGCTCAATATCGGAGATAGAGCGTATAGTTGAAGATTGCGTTTAAGATTTTCTGAAGACCAGCGTTCCGAAGACTCTCACCACACGCTGTCCATGTTTATATTTTTTATGTCTTCTCTCATTCCCCTCTTTCACTATTTATTTAAACTCTCTCTCTACTCACACACACACACACACACACATAAAATATATATATATATATATATATATATATATATATACTTAAACATAAAAGCAGTTAGATGAATCCAATAAACAAAAACTAAAAATGCTTTAAGCTACATGCATAAAACAGTTGAAACCTAATCTGAACAAAATAAACTATAAAATCCAAAAATATATTTAAGTGCCTATAATTTATAACAGAAGCCATTGTTTTTATACCAACAGCTTCCCATACTTAACACTTCTCGTTTTAACTCTCGCGTGGTCATTTGTGATGTCATGGGCTCCGCGATGCGATTTTGAAGAGTGGCATCGTATGCATTTGAGTTTGTCGTTGCTTGAAATCCTCCATGCAAACAAAACAGATTATCATTGTTGAAAAATGTCTATGTATTGTTTAATTTAACATAATGTCATTGTCATCTTTGATGATGGCTTATGTAAGAAAAAGCTTAGATAGGATTAAAAAACATATATCAATATGACGAATTTTTTCGTCTTTCAATGATAATGTTATTAAGCTTATCAGACGATATGAAAGGAATTTGCTTAAAATAAATAGACTAAAAAAACATATATGTACCAGATTATAAAAGCTAGTCGGCCAGCAGCTGTATAGTGAGTAGTTAATTTCAAATCCAGCAGACTTAACTTTTTTGTCATTGCGTCTGATAAAGATATTTATTTTTCTTGCGTAAGGAATTTCGAAGAAAATTGCCAAAATTTGTAAATGCAAAATGGTTCAATTGTTAGATTAAGCTCTGAACCGTTAAAGATATCTTAGAAAAGGATTAAAGATTTCTTACTGGAATTCTCCGAGGTTTTTATAAGACCACTGGACTCTACTTTTGAGCAATAAGAATCGTGATGACATCGAAAATGACATATTCAACATTAACTAAAACATAGCGTACTGAAATAAAGATATATATATATATATATATATATATATATATATATATATATTTATTTAAAATATGATTCCAACACGCTTATAAGAGTTCTCATGTTTCAAAACAAAAGTTTGGACTATTTAAAACGAGTTCTTTCCTATTTTCACACACACACACACACACACACACACACACACACACACATATATACATATTATATATATATATATATATATATATATTATATATATATTCCAGGATCATTTTCCAACTTATTCAAGACGACCTTCACCCTTGTCTAACCTTCTAACTTTCTGTATTGGATTAACAAGGTACCTTACACTTTTCATGTACGATTTCATTTTCAAGACTTTTTTTCACTGCTCTTTGGACTGTCATAACTGAAACTCTCTCTCTCACATGTCAAACGTCTTATGGATTGAGTTGGATCTTTTCTAATTGATCTTTTTAGCTTTAAGTTGAAATGATGATCCCTCTTCCTGTTGTGACCTCCTGATCCAGTTTTCCTCTCTACTGTTCCCTTTTTTTAAACTTATTCACCGTTCTCTTGATGGTTCTTGAATGGACTTTGAAGATGGAAGCCAGAGTATGAATGTTGGTACCATTACTGAAGGCCTGAATGATTTTTTTCCTCTCACCATTGTTCAGTTGGGAGGAGACAGTGACGCTGACACAAAACAATTTTAACCTGTTCTCTTTCTTTGAATAACTCAAAGGGTTTTTCAGTGATTCTTATGACAAATGGTGTCAAGATGGCAAAACGTCTTATCTGAAAACCTGGAAAAAAAAAACTCAATTAGTTTAGTGTTTTTTTTTTTTTTTTTTTTTTTTTTAGATATTAAACATTTTGTGGGATGGATTATTATGCTGTTACACGATTTGGACAATTTTGCTGTTACATTGATAGCCATAAAAACTACAATAAAGCCGTTTGGTGCGCATGCGCGTTTTTTTGTATCGATGGAAATGTTGCTAGTTTGCCGAATTGAGCAAACATGAGATGTCCATGTGAAATAGGTAGGTATTATATGATAGATAGATAGATAGATAGATAGATAGATAGATAGATAGATAGATAGATAATGGCATAGAGGAAGAAAGATATCTAGATCAATAAGAAAAATGTGATAGATATAAACAGAATGAAGTAAACAGGTTGACAGAAAAAAAGATTGAAGGATTTGAACAATGTGAGGCAAATATGAACAAATAGATAATGAACAGACCGAGATAGATAGATAGATAGATAGATAGATAGATAGATAGATATGAAAAGAATGAGATAGATAGATAGATAAATAGATAGATAGATAGTGATAAACAAATACGAACAATGTGATATGAAAATAAAGAGACATATAGAGAGTGAGTGTGTGTGCGTATTTGTGTGTGCGTGTGTGTATGCATGCGTGATAGATAGATAGATAGATAGATAGATAGATAGATAGATAGATATGAGCTGACTGAGATAGATATGAAAAATGTGAGATAGATAGAAATGTAAACAATGAGATAGATATAAAAATAATGAATGACATAGATAGATATATAGATATGAAAAGAACGAGATAGATAGATAGATAGATAGATAGATAGATAGATAGATAGATAGATATGAACAGGCTCTGACAGATAGATAAACGACAATCTATCCATCGTACTCTGAAGATAGATAGATAGATAGATAGATAGATATGAACAGGCTCTGATAGATAGATAAACGACAATTTATCCATCGTACTCGATAGAAAGATAGATAGATAGATAGATAGATAGATAGATACATATGAACAGGCTCTGAGAGATAGATAAACGACAATTTATCCATCGTACTCGATAGATAGATAGATAGATAGATAGATAGATAGATAGATATGAAAAGAATTAGATAGATATGAAAAGAATGAGATAGATAGATAGATAGATAGATAGATAGATATGAACAGGCTCTGATAGATATATAAACGACAATTTATCCATCGTACTCGATAGAAAGATAGATAGATAGATATGAACAGGCTCTGAGAGATAGATAAACGACAATTTATCCACCGTACTCGATAGATAGATAGATAGATAGATATAAAAAGAATTAGATAGATAGATATAAAAAGAATTAGATAGATAGATATGAAAAGAATGAGATAGATAGATAGATAGATAGATAGATAGATAGATAGATAGATATGAACAGGCTCTGAGAGATAGATAAACGACAATTTATCCATCGTACTTGATAGAAAGATAGATAGATAGATATGAACAGGCTCTGAGAGATAGATAAACGACAATTTCTCCATCGTACTATATAGATAGATAGATAGATAGATAGATAGATAGATAGATAGATAGATATGAAAAGAATTAGATAGATCGATATGAAAAGAATGAGATAGATAGATAGATATGAAAAGAATTAGATAGATCGATATGAAAAGAATAGATAGATAGATAGATAGATAGATAGATATGAACAGGCTCTGATAGATAGATAAACGACAATTTATCCATCGTACTCGATAGAAAGATAGATACATAGATATGAACAGGCTCTGAGAGATAGATAAACGACAATTTATCCATCGTACTAGATAGATAGATAGATAGATAGATAGATAGATATGAACAGGCTCTGATAGATAGATAAACGACAATTTATCCATCGTACTCGATAGAAAGATAGATAGATAGATAGATAGATAGATAGATAGATAGATAGATATGAACAGGCTCTGAGAGATAGATAAACGACAATTTATCCACCGTACTAGATAGATAGATAGATAGATAGATAGATAGATAGATAGATAGATAGATATGAAAAGAATTAGATAGATCGATATGAAAAAATAGATAGATAGATAGATAGATAGATAGATAGATATGAACAGGCTCTGAGAGATAGATAAACGACAATTTATCCATTGTACTAGATAGATAGATAGATAGATAGATAGATAGATAGATGTTGGTATCGCTGGAAATGACTCTCTCTCTAAAATGTACATTGCCATTGTCACTTTAAATTAAATGTATTATGGTGTCACTTTGATCACATAAGTTGTAATATTTTGGCTTCGATGAAAAGATTCCCAGCCGAAACAACTGGAAACTACTCTCTCTACACTCTAAAACAATCTATAAGTTAAACATAAAAATTGTTCACCAAATATGTTACATGTTTTAATGTTCGCTTTGTTTGAAACAATCTGGGAGATGTTTATGTAATTGTCTTTCATTTCTTGCTTCGCAGAACATGCAAGCTTTTTTTTTTGTTTCGAAATGTTTGTCACCAACGATGAATAATGGAATAATTTCGAAAAAAAGTATTTTATAGGTCGACGGCTGCTTTCGAATGAAGAATCTTGAAATATACAATACCATTCCAATCCTACAAGATTTCTACCTTCACCTTTTTCGGATACAATCGAAGGGGTGCCATGTCGAATTTGGATTTTATTCCTGCTTTGACATATGTTTTATTTTGCCCTATTGGATTTCTTAGTCTAGGTTTTCGGGAAGTTTGTTTTTCTCTTCAGATTTGACGCAGCTGATACGTATTGCTCTGTTTAAGCTCTGTAACACTGGCCATATAAAACCATAATGGACGGCTACTTGTGGGCCGAACACACCAATGAGAAACTTGTTTATAGTTAGATTTTAGTTTCGGAACGTTTGTAGATATAATAAAATTATCATTTGGCATAAGCAATGGTATAATACCAGTACGCGCGAATACTCAGTCACGATGGCACCTGACTTCGCGTCAGTCCAACCCTTGACGTCTTTGGAAACACTTCCGTTGACACAATTTTCCTCCCAATCTAGATTGCTTACAAAAATAGGGACCGGAAAAGGTCCTGCGCTGTCGTTTTCTGAGATCGTCAAAAAACAACGAGAACATAAATATAATTTATCATTCGGCTCTCATGGTAATTAAAGTGAATGTTGACCACTCGAATACACGCCCACATATGCATACAGGAACATATATAATCCCCCACACGCGTTTATTTTTTTATAGATCGCTCGCTCGCTCGCACACACACACACACACACACACACACACACACACACACACACACACATACACGCCAGTCCTGGGTAAGACGATGAAGTACATCCGGCAGCAGGCCCTCTAATCGGTAGATGGGAGGTTTTGAGGAGCCTGGAACCACCTCTTCTTCCCAGTTCCACCCTGGCCTGAGGATGTAGCACCTGTTAGGGTCTCATCTATGGGCAAATTGTGAACCCTCACCAAAGAAAAACAAAACTCTATGAATGCATAAAAATAAATATTTTATATGAAAACATTGCCAACAATAATCAGTTATAGTAAAAAAAATACCTAATTATAGTATATATTTAGATGAAGCCATAAAATTGTGTTTAAAATATTTAGATTTCGGCTTTTTAGAGTGTTTGGACATTAATCTGAGGACAGTGCATAGGATTCAGAAAGAGATGAATGAATCAAATGGTGGTTATGAAAGTATTTGAAGTGATCACTCGTGATGAAGATGCTATGGCTCCATTCATCTTCCCACAGGGCCCCAGACACAATGAGGAGGCCTATATCACACAAGCACCATGCCACTCAAGCACGAAAACCCAGTGATGACTGTCAGACAATATCTGCGACCATATCACTACTTAGGTAAATTGTGTAAATTGTCGCCATTTTATATTCTTAGTTTCGTGAGGGTAGGTTGTTTGTTTTGGATTTTGTCGACTGTACATTATAGTTGAACACCGTCTGTGAGAAAAAAAAGGCACCATGATGCAGTTCACTCCGCCAGAAATTTAGAAATGGCATGTTGAGCGTTTGGCATTAAATCTGTGGAAAGTACAGAGGATTCGGAAAGAGTTGGATGATATATCCAGTCAACATCATGGTGTTTAGAGTGATCACTAGTGATGGCGAAGTTATGCCTGAAATTCGTCTTCCCACAGGGACTATATATATAAAACACAGATAATAAATTTTACATCAAGTGCTTTAGAGGAGGTAGTGATGCCCTGGATAAAGAGGGCGGCTGCTGAACCAACCTATGTCCGGTATCAGGACTCTGCACCATGCCACACGTGCAGGAGAACCCAGTCAGAGCTGACTGACAATTTCTACATCCACAACACAACTTACAACTGGCCACCTAACTCCCCAGACTGCAACCCCCTTGATTATTATGTGTGGGGCGAAGTTAAGCAAGAGAGTAACAAAACTCTTTGAAACACCAAAGATGAACTGAAGGCACGGATTATGGCAGCATTCAACAACTTAAAAAAAGGAGACCATCTAGAGGAGTTGCAGGAGATTCCGAAGTCATCTGGAGGCTGTGATTGAAGCCAATGGCGATTTTATTGAATAAATTTACTCTTTAGTATTTCAAGATATTTTTGTGTAATTCTGGGATTTATATCTGCTACACTGAAATGCCAGTGTTATTTTCATTTTGGGGTTAATTTTGACGACAATTTATCGATAGCACCCTGTATTATTGTTTAAATATCAGTTGTGTTGTTTTTTGCATTCGTTTTTTTTTCTGGCTTCTAAGGAACTGCTGAATAACAATTATCATTTTCATGCCAAATACTGTATTCGTCATTTACTGTTTCCGAATAACAGGCTTTCTGGATGTTAATGGTAATGATAATATTAACTGTTTCTTTATAAGGAAACATTCGGCATTTATTGAACGGACAGCCAGTGCTACTGATAGTTGAAATTTATACAATCTTTTTCTTAAAACAACTTTTCCGGAAAATAGGTTTCACAAGACTACGACCTATTATCACGTTTTCAAGTATTTATCGATGTTTCCTTCCTAACCTTTTGCAGTATGGAACGACAACATCTTGATTATGTTATTATTTTTCTCTTCGAGTTATAGGTACTATCTGTTTTAGTTGTTGCGGTTTCTCTTATTTGGTACAGGTCTTTGTGATTTTGTAATGCTAATCCACAAGTATGGCCCACGCCATAAGACATGCTTCATTGATCTGAGAAAGCGGTTGTATACAGCTGAGAGTTTAGCTACATATGAACGAATTTTGTTCTGTTAAAGGCATCAATCTGATGAAGCTTCTTGCGAACATGACACGAGTTTTTTTTGTGTTTTAATGTTTTTTGTTAAAGGACAAATAAATGAAGTGAACAAAATTTCGAAAATATATTTTCTGAATGAATTTCTAAATGAGAATTTCTAAGAATGTGCTTCGGAAGACAGTTTCAAAAAGTTTGTCTATATTTCTGAGATGAGGTATTATGTACAGTATTTACATTAGTCGGACTATTGTCCTCATCTTTGTCGCCATATTTGTGACAAATATGGCGACAAATCAAGGACAAAGTAAAAATCAAATACAAAATTCAAAAGGTTTTTCTTTTCTTTTTATGTGGCGTGCCCTTTCTCGGCGTAGGCGATCATGGCTCTCCTCTTCTGTCTATGCCTTGTAGCTCTCAATAAGTTTCGTCTCTCTGGCCACCTCCCCCAAGCCACGTTCTGTCATCCACTTCCTTAACCCCGCCAGGTATATCATGGGTTGTTATCAGTTGTCTCCTCTATTCGACCTGTGAGTATCAGATTCTCCAGGCCCTCTTTTCTCATAACAGGTCCCAGAAATTTCAGCTGCCTCTTCCTAATGTTAAGTATAAGCCTCCTCCTTGTTTGCATCCTCTCTGAGAACTCATCGTTGCTCACACGCTTGGTCCATGATATCCTTAGCATCCTTCTATAGAACCACATCTCCGTCGCCTCGAGTCTCTTGTTCATCTTTGAGAAGACCGTCCAACAGAATGCTTGCCCTTACGCATTTATATATATATATATATATATATATATATATATATATATATATAAGTGTGTGTGTGTGTGTATGCCGTCACAATTTAGAGGATTGCGCAGCATGGCGGTTGGGAAACACTGGTCTGAAAGAATACTAGTTTTTTATGTGGCATGTACTTTCAGGACGTAGGCGATCATGGCTCTCCACTTCTCCCTATCCCAATGTAGCTCCCAGTAAGTTTCATCTCTGCCACCTCTCCCAGACCACGTTCTGTCATCCACTTGCTTAAGCCCGCCAGATATGTCATGCGTTGCTTTCCTTTGTCACTCTTTCCCTCTATTCGACCTGTGAGTGTCAGATTCTCCAGGCCATCCTTTCTCATTACGTGTCCCAAAAATTTCAGCTGCCTCATCTTTATATTAAGTATAAGCTTCCTCCTTGTTTGCATTCTCTCCAAAACCTCATCATTGCTCACGCGCTCAGTCCATGATATCCTCAGTATCCTTCTGTAGAACGACATCTCCGCTGCCTTGAGTCTCTTCTTCATCTTTGAGGAGACCGTCCAACATTTGAAGGCCGTAGAAGTGGACAGATGTCACATAACAGCGCAGTATTCTTTTCTTTGTTACCAAAGAAATCTTCCTGTCTAGCAATACTCTGCCCAGCTTTTGGAATGCGTCTTTGGTAATCACAATATGTTTAGTCCATAATATCCTCAGCATCTTTCTGTAGAACCATATCTCCATCACCTCGAGTCTCTTCTTCATGTTTGAGGAGACCGTCCACAAAAGTTGTTGCTAGATTAAGTTCTGAATGCGAAACCATTGAAAATGTTTTTTTTTTAATGAGAGAATGAGCTGAATGAGATTTTGAATGATGATATTTCAGAATGTTTTTGTGACTGAGAGATTTTTTTAATGTGTTTTGGATTGAGAGGATTTCAAGCTGCATTTCTGAAACAGTGTACTAGGAGACATTGCTGAATGAAATAATTCTGGAACGAGAAAGGTACTGAATAATAGACATAGTGGATGAATTTTCGAATGAAAGATTTTCTGAATATACAATTGTGTGTGAGACATTTGGAATGAGAGACGGAATGAATTTCTTAATGAAAATCATGTTGAATGATTCTTTTTTATACAACTTCTGAATGAGAAACGTTCTGAATGAGGTCCTGAAAGAAGAGAATTTCGGAATTGAAGACCTTCTGAATGGGTTTCATGAAGAAGAGATAACTGGACGCGTTTCAGAATGAGAGAATTTCGGAATGAGAGAATTTCGGAATGAGAGAATTTCAGAATGAGAGACCGTCTGAATGGGTTTCATGAAGAAGAGATAAATGGACACGTTTCAGAATGAGAGAATTTCGGAATTGAAGACCTTCTGAATAAGTTTAACGAAGAAGAGATAGCTGAAAGCGTTCCAGAATGAGAGAATTTCGGAATGAGAGACCTCCTGAATGAGTTTCATGAAAAAGATATAACTGGGCGCGTTCCAGAATAAGAGAGTTTCGAAATGAAGAGCTCCTGAATGAGTTTCATGAAGAAGAGATAACTGAACGCGTTTCAGAATGAGAGAATTTCAGAATGAGAGAATTTCAGAATGAGAGACCTTCTGAATGGGTTTCATGAAGAAGACATAAATGGACACGTTTCAGAATGAGAGAATTTCGGAATTGAAGACCTTCTGAATAAGTTTAACGAAGAAGAGATAGCTGAAAGCGTTCCAGAATGAGAGAATTTCGGAATGAGAGACCTCCTGAATGAGTTTCATGAAAAAGATATAACTGGGCGCGTTCCAGAATAAGAGAGTTTCGAAATGAGAGAGCTCCTGAATGAGTTTCATGAAGAAGAGATAACTGAACGCGTTTCAGAATGAGAGAATTTCAGAATGAGAGAATTTCAGAATGAGAGACCTTCTGAATGGGTTTCATGAAGAAGACATAAATGGACACGTTTCAGAATGAGAGAATTTCGGAATTGAAGACCTTCTGAATAAGTTTAACGAAGAAGAGATAGCTGAAAGCGTTCCAGAATGAGAGAATTTCGGAATGAGAGACCTCCTGAATGAGTTTCATGAAAAAAGATATAACTGGGCGCGTTCCAGAATAAAGAGAATTCCGGAATGAGGGGCTCCTGAATGAGTTTCATGAAGAAGAGATAACTGAACGCGTTTCAGAATGAGAGAATTTCAGAATGAGAGAAATTCAGAATGAGAGAATCTCAGAATAAGAGACCTTCTGAATGGGTTTCATGAAGAAGACATAAATGGACACGTTTCAGAATGAGAGAATTTCGGAATTGAAGACATTCTGAATAAGTTTAACGAAGAAGAGATAGCTGAAAGCGTTCCAGAATGAGAGAATTTCGGAATGAGAGACCTCCTGAATGAGTTTCATGAAAAAGATATAACTGGGCGCGTTCCAGAATAAGAGAATTCCGGAATGAGGGAGTTCCTGAATGAGTTTCATGAAGAAGAGATAACTGAACGCGTTTCAGAATGAGAGAATTTCAGAATGAGAGAAATTCAGAATGAGAGAATCTCAGAATGAGAGACCTTCTGAATGGGTTTCATGAAGAAGAGATAAATGGACACGTTTCAGAATGAGAGAATTTCGGAATTGAAGACCTTCTGAATGAGTTTAACGAAGAAGAGATAGCTGAAACGTCCCAGAATGAGAAAATTTCGGAATGAGAGACTTTTGACAATAAATATTTTGAATGAGTATCTTAATGAGAGACTTTCGTTCTGCCTCTTTAAAATGCGGTTAGGAAAATATTGGTCAAATTCCGAATCTTTGGTGAATTAAAAAAAGAAGTAGAATTATGATTATAAATCCGATAATAGAAATGTAACTGTCTGTTATTTTTCCCCTTGTTAATTCAATTGTTTATTCACGATTCTAATTTTCGCGCTATTGTCTGTCAAGATCGCGTAAAGAAATCAGGAAAGAAGAAAGAAAGAAAAATTACATTCGTCGTTATTTTCGGACAATGGAAAGAGAAAAAAACTTTAGGAATAATGACCGCGTGACCTTTTGGGAAATTAAATGAAAAGCTTTAAACGGATTTAGGTTGCTGGGTTAGGGAAGCTTATTAATACACAGCAGATTATTTCATTTATTTCTCAATCTCTTATTCTCACTTTCTCTCTTTCTTTCTTTCTTTTTTCATTCTTTCTTTCTTCTACTATCTTCCATTACCGTTCCCACTTCATTCTCTCTTTCTTTATATTGCCCTCTTTCTCACTTTTTCTTACTCTCTTTCTTTATATTGCCCTCTTTCTCACTTTTTCTTTCTTTCTTTCTTTATATTACCTATTTCTCACTTTTCTTTCTTTCTTTCTTTATATTGCCCTCTTTCTCACTTTTTCTTACTCTCTTTCTTTATATTGCCCTCTTTCTCACTTTTTCTTTCTTTCTTTCTTTATATTGCCCTCTTTCTCACTTTTTCTTTCTTTATATTGCCCTCTTTCTCACTTTTTCTTACTCTCTCTCTTTATATTGCTCTCTTTCTCACTTTTTCTTTCTTTCTTTATATTGCCCTCTTTCTCACTTTTTCTTTCTTTATATTGCCCTCTTTCCCACTTTTTCTTTCTTTATATTGTCCTCTTTCTCACTTTTTCTTACTCTCTTTCTTTATATTACCTCTTTCTCACTTTTTCTTTCTTTCTTTATATTGCCCTCTTTCTCACTTTTTCTTACTCTCTCTCTTTATATTGCCCTCTTTCTCACTTTTTCTTTCTTTATATTGTCCTCTTTCTCACTTTTTCTTACTCTCTTTCTTTATATTACCTCTTTCTCACTTTTTCTTTCTTTCTTTATATTGCCCTCTTTCCCACTTTTTCTTACTCTCTCTCTTTATATTGCCCTCTTTCTCACTTTTTCTTTCTTTCTTTATATTGCCCTCTTTCTCATTTTTTCTTTCTTTATATTGTCCTCTTTCTCACTTTTTCTTACTCTTTCTCTTTATATTGTTCTCTTTCTCACTTTTTCTTACTCTTTTTCTTTATATTACCTCTTTCTCACTTTTTCTTTCTTTCTTTCTTTCTTTCTTTCTTTATATTGCCCTCTTTCTCACTTGTTCTTACTCTCTTTCTTTATATTGCCCTCTTTCTCACTTTTTCTTACTCTCTTTCTTTATATTGCCCTCTTTCTCACTTTTTCTTACTCTCTTTCTTCTTTCGCTTCTTACTGTGTTATCCTTTTTCTATATCTTTTTATGAACTCTTTCTTTCTTCTTTCTTTCTTCTCTTTTCATCTCTATTTTTAACACTTTCCTTTTCGTTTTTCACCCTTTTTTCTCCTTCCTTTATTTCCCTCTTTCTCTTTTCTTCTTACTCTTTATTCTTTTCCTTTCACACGCCATTTTTCCCTTCTTTCTTCTCTATTTCTTCTTTCTCTTTTCTTCATCTTTCTCTTGCTGTATTTTTCTTTGCTATGCTGTTCTTATTTTTTATTTTTCTTTCTCTCTTTCTTCTTCTTTTTTTCTTTCTTCTTCTTACCCTCTTTCCTTTCCTTTTAATCTTTTTTTGCTTTCATTAATTCTTTCTGATTTTCTTGCGCCCTTCTTCTTTTCTTTCTTTCTTTCTTTCCTTTCTTTCTTTCTTTCTTTCTTTCTTTTTTTCTTTCATTTTCCATTCTTTGTTTTGTTTCTCTTTATTTTTCTTTTACTTTTGTATTCTTCCTTCTCTCTCTCTTTTACCATTTTCTATCTTTTTCTTCTTTCTCGTTTTCTCTTTTCGTTTCTCTTTCTCTCTATCTACGTTTCTTCTTTTTCTGTTTCTTTTTCCTTATTTCATTTTTTTGTTTTTACTTTTTCACAATTTATTCTCTTTCACTCTCCTTTATCTTATCGTTTTTCCCTTTTTTTTTCTGTTTCTTCATCTCTTTCTTTTCTTTTTTCTTTCATTCTTTTCCCGTCTTTTTTTACTCTTTCTCTCTCATTTTACCTTCTTTCCTCATCATTCGCTCATTCTTTGTCTGTCCCTTTTTCTTTCTTCCTCTTTTCTCCTTTATTACTTTCTGTCTTCTTCTTTCCTTCTCCCATTCTTCTTTCACTCTTTCTTTCTTCTTTTCTTTTGTTTTTTTTTTCCATCCCCCTCTCTTCACTTCTGTGCATAAATGCCTCTGATGCGCTCATTCACAGTTTCGCAACAAAAGCTTCAATTTTCTCGCTTTATTTGCCGGGGTATTGTCTAATTAAATACGTCAAAATAATCTGTTTAATTAGATTTTATTAAAAAACTGCACCTAATTATTTAAACAACTGAAAATATAGTAACTTTACAGAATTGATTATTATTATTATTATTACTATTATTATTTTTACAACTACTACTACTACTAATATAAACATTATAAACGTATACATGTTTTTTGCCCATGGCTATATCTACGTCGCTATGCCTAGCGTAGGAAATTCAAGTGAACTGAATATAATGGCTGAAAACTTTGGAAAATAGATTTCTTGACGAAAATGATATTTAGACGTCAGTTTTAAATGTTGGCACAACAGCCGATATGGGAGATAGTAAAAAGCCGAAAATTTACTAAGAGTTACAAAGGACATGAAATCATGGAGAGCCATGATCGCCAGCGTCCTGAATGGACATCGTACAAAGAAGAAGAAGAAGGGGAGTAAGAAGAAGAAGGATGAAGAGGAGGAAGAAGAAGGAGAAAGGGGAGGAGGCAGAGGGGAGGAGGAGGAAGAAGAAGGAGGAGGAGGAGGAGGAAGAAGGAGAAAGAGGAGAAGGCAGAGTGGATGAGGGGGCAGAGGGGAAGAGGAGAAGGAAGAAGAAGGAGGAGGAGGAGGAAGAAGGAGAAAGAGAAGGAGGTAGAGTGGAGGAGGGGGCAGAGGGGAAGAGGAGAAGGAAGAAGGAGGAGGAGGAGGAAGAAAGAGAAAGAGGAGGAGGCAGAGGGGAGGAGGAGGACGACGAAGAAGAAGAACTTCAATGAAATTTTTCTCTATTCATAGAATGGGTATTTGACTAAGTTTGCCGTTAACGAATATAAGAATAGGCATGACTGGATTGGGTAAATTGAATCACTGGGAACTGTTCAAGCGTCTACATAACGACTAACCATAACAGAGCTTTACGCACAGACGAGAATTTGTCCAAGAGAATAAAACATAAACAAACGTGGAATTTAGAATTTCAGCCGCGGGACACCAAAATCTGGCAGCCATGAACCAGACATGATGACAACTCATAATTGACTAATTGCATAAATTAATGTCATCAATTTTGTCAGCATCATATCCATTCTAATGGTGCTTCATTTAACTAATACATTTCTGCTTGAGCCAGTCTACGAAGTTTGAAAATTTGGGCCTATAAATTATATTTACACACACAAACACAGACACAAACACACACACACACATACATATATATATATATATATATATATATATATATATATATATATGTATGTATGTAATTATCTGCTATTAACTTTATTAAATTTCAAATGTGAAAATTTAACGATATTTTTACAGTATCTTCTGTTTATAATTAAAAGTTGCAAAATAAAATCTCTATATTTATTTTCATAAAGTAACTCAAGGCACGAAACACGTTGGTAAAGAAAAGTTTATTTATATATATATATATATATATTGACATATATCAATGTATATATAATATTTGCTTCCAAACATTCGCTAAAAAAAGCATACCATGATATAAAAAATGCCCCAAACTTGACAAAACAATTTTTTATCATCAAAATTTTATATTATTATTAAGAGGAAAGACCAAAGTATTTTTCGATTTTTTATTAACTTTTTTTTTTTTTAATCTTTTCTAGCACGTTCAAAATTTTGGTTTAACATCTCGTTTTTCTTATATCAGCGTATGGACCAATGGTTGGTATGGGAAATGTAACATCATTTTTGCGGTAGGAAACATTGTTTTGGAAATTCTTGCAAAAGTCAATTGTCAGATTTTAATGAAATGTCCAGGACACAATCAAAAATGAATTAATTTATTTACGAATTTGTTTTGAAATAATCTTTTTTTACGTCAGTTCCATTTTTAAAATATCAAGAAATTATAATTTCAGCATTTGCATATTTATATTAGTTAAAAACTGGACTCTTTGGAGAATTTGAATTATCAATTTGTGTTTGTCGAACAGGAAAAAAAAAACATTTACCGAAAATCAGCTCTGAATCGTAAAATAAAAATGCAATAAAACTATGACACTATTTAATTAGTAAAGCTTTTAATTGGTTTTATAATTAAGATATTAATAAAACAAGAAAACAAATTTTTTCTTTCTTAAGTAAACAAATTTTTATGAATAATGAATTTGGCAAGAATTGTTTTCATTTTTTTTTTAATTTCAATCAGAATAATTTACTAAATTTTAATTTTTTTTCAAATTCTGTATTAAGTTCATTCTTTTAGAAGACATAATTAATCCTTTTGTGTAGCGATTTCAAAATGTTTCTATTATAATCTATTTATAATATATGTATATTTTATATATATATATATATATATATATATATATATATATATATATATATATTATAAATTAATTGATTTAAAATATGATTTTTTTCGCATTTAGCTTCCATTTTTGAAACATGGTTAGAACTGTGTAAAAAAAAACATATTTTAAATCAATTAATTATAACATTAATCTCTCTGTAAATTCACATTGAGCACTATTTTGTAAAAATAAAAATATCTATAAGAACACCGGATTATATATCTTACTGTTCTTTCTTTTAATTTATATTTATATATATATATATATATATATATATATATATATATAAATCACACATTGGGATCTATGATCGGTTATGTCCTGAAGGGTCATGGCACATACAATAAGAAGAATGAGCTTGTGTAAGTATATGGGGGAATAAAGTTTGCGAGAGCTAACAAAAAGAGCTACAAAAAAAGGAAAATGTGGTTAGCTCTGATCGCCTACGTCCTGAAGTGACGCAAAGAAGAAGAAGAAGAACAACAACAAGAAGAACAACAACAACAGCAACAAGATCGAGAAAAAAAGGAAAGCTTAAATCAGTTCGAGCCCAGTTAAAGCGAATGTGCGGAATGCTGATTTTCATGGCACTTGATATATTCCTATTCTTTGATGTGGCGTGTCCCTTCAAGAGATTGGCGCCATGGTACTAAACAATGTTTGTCCCCTGACCATCCCCACCCCAGTCCAAGTTCTGCCATCCATTTACACATTGCTATTCTCTGACTCTCTTGCCTTTGCATACGCCCTGTGAGTGTTAACTTCTCCAAACCTCCTACTCTTTTTATGTCTCCTAGAAATTTCAACTGTCACTTTCCCCATGTTAACCCTTAGTGTCATTTCTGCCGACATGTTTCTTAAAACTTCCTCATTGTTCACATATTCTGTCTACGTTATTCTCAACATCCTACTGCAGCTCTACATCGCACTACGCTGAAAGTCTCCAATTTGCCTGCGAGGAAATCGTCCAGTATTTACTGTTTTTGAACATTCAAATCTGTTTAGTTTTAGAAGGCATATTCCGCTATTCACACGGATTTCTGCAGCACATTACCATCGTCCTGTCAGATACTTAAATTTCTGTGTTTGCTTGATTTTGATATCTCCAGTTCGTAACTCGTAGGGTTGCCTATTTTTCTTGTTAACCGCCCCGTATTATATCTTCTTGTTGTATCGTCGAGGTGAATGATACACAGAGGAGAATGAGTGCTTTATATATTTATTCAGTACCAGTACCCAGTGCTAACGGATACATACAAAAAACACCGAACAATAAGTTACAAAATAATTAACAAGACAACTTACAAGGAATAGATGAGGGTCAAATGCTGTATAATCAAACGAAGATCAGTCAGAATATTACCCAGCTTAGTATCAACTTATTAATCAACTGTTGAAGTCCTTAATCGTAGACTGTTTAAGGCTATGAACCAGGCCATCTGGAAGAGTGCTGAAGGGAGGGGGGGCTAGCTTCTCTACAACACTTCTTATAATTTATGCTTTCGACCTTTTTTACACACACAGGATGTCCTGTTGTTTTATCTTCAGGACTTCCTAGATTTTTCTTTCTGTATTTACTAAAGGTTTAGAGATTCTTGTTAAATGCCCAAAAGAATCAGCAATGTTATTGGTCCTGACCTGGCATCTTATCTTTCAGTCACTTTCACACCACCATAATGTAGCTTCCCTGTGCCTTTTTTTTTATAGATACTTTCTTGGTAATGGTTCCGAGGAACTTTCCTAGTGAATGTATGCTCATTGGCTCCTTTTATTTCTCTTCCCACTTTCTTTAGTTTAATTCCCCTCCTCTCCCCCGTTTGTGACAGAGATGTCAGTTCTCTAGTAGATGTGGGGCGTTTTTCGTTTTTTTTTAGTGTGTATTTCGTATTTGTTTTTGTGTTTGGATGAGTGTGTCTGAGTGAGTGATTGGTCGAATGATTATTTTTAATTACTTTGTCCCGCATTAATTTCAACTAGTTAAGTGATTTTTCTGTCACAATGAAGCATTGTTTTTTTGTTTGTTTTTTTTTTTTGTTTGTATTTTTGTTTGTTTTTTGTTTATTTTTTTTTTTTGTCTTTGTTTTTTTGGGGTTTTTTTGCTAACACTATTTTCTTTAGTTCGTTATATATGAATTGTATTCACTGTAAATATTCACTAGTGCTTCATTTTTAAATACTACTAGCAGCATGGCCCGGCGTTGCCCGTGCTTGATTCAAAAATAGTACGACTAATACAGCAATCGCTATCACTTGACTTAAAATATTTTTGCCCTTCCTTGCCTTTAGAGGAGTGCCCTTTGCCGTGCTGATGTTGTTACATGCCTTACTTCTTGCCTATATCACACTGCCAACTTTTTCTAAGCTCTATAGTAAACATTAAATCTGTTACGAAAAAAGAACTAAACAAAATAAACACAATACGATCAGCTTTAAAAAACCGGAAAAAACATTTTTAAGGGTTGACCGATTGTCGATTTGCACTCTGTTTGGGGGGGGTGCTCAGAGTTGAAACTTCACATGATGACTCCCAATGGCCTCTTCATAAATCCGCTCGGTTTTCGCTAAAAACCGACATGCGGTTCAGACGCAATCTGGGCGTATCGGTTTTTGGGTTTTATCGATTTTCCGCGCTGTTTAGGGGTCCGTGGTCATGAAACTTCTGGACAACACTTCTAATGGTAGACTCTAAGAGGGTGTCAAATTTGGTTGAAATGCGATCATTCCTTCTGTAAGCAGAATTTTTTCGATTATCGATTTTTTCGATTATCGATTTTTTCGGAACCTGATTCCGAACTCAAAAATCGGGCTCCGTCATGTCCTTACGGCAGCCATTTGCAAACTTGTGTTGAAAACCGCATCGAAATCGGGTGAGAAATGCGGCCTGGGCGAGGTAACAACGCCCACGACAGACACACAGACAGACAACATGAGAAATATAGATAGTAAGAATACTGTGGCATCTTTGGGTCTTGTAATCGTGGCTAGCTAAGTTTAATTATAAGACAAAATAAGAACAGCTTTCCCAATTCCCTCTTTTGGTCATGCCGTTCTAGGTATGACGATAAACTACATCCGCATCCTCGGTAAGACGATAAACTACGTCTGCATCCTGGGTAAGACGATAAACTACGTTTAACAGCAAGGCCTCTGATCAGGAGGTTTTGAGGAGCGTGGAAACACCTCTTAATTGATAGTGTTCCCAGGTGTGGTAGCATCTGTTAGGGTCCCAGCTATGGGCAAATAGTTAACACCTAAACTTGTGTAAAAATAGGTTTTAATACCTGAAATACTTTGTAAAAAAAATTATTACCAACAATAATTTTTGAAGGAAAAATTATTACCAGCAATATTTAAAGAAAACACCAGTAATACAAACAGCTATACATAAAAAGTTGGATTTTACTCAAAAATATGAGTAATTGAAAAATGCTTCAAATATATGTGATAAAAAAAATTGTCAGCATTGAGAATAAAACAATATAAACCAAACCAAATCCTTTTGGTCATGTGCCACATGTCTGCATTTTACAAAATATTACTTTCTTATATGATACCTTCTGCATTTAAGAGCTGTACTAGATTCGATTTTACTGTTAAAATAGTTAGATGCAACCGTAAGTTCTATGTTAACAGTTTCTTCTCTTACACTTCTCGTTTGTCGAAATTTCTTCCGGTTTTATGCATTCCAGGCAAGTTTGATCTTCAAAAATTTAAATGCAACGTCTACCGTTATCTTGTGTCTTCTTAATTTCTGTTCTTTTATTGTTCTCTCTCCTTAATAATGTTTTTCTCTCTCTTATACTCTTTCACTCTCAGTAACGCCTATGCGTCTTAGTGGCTTTGTTACCTTGCTTTGGGTAAAACGATTTTTTAAAAAATCTTCTCTCAATACGGTGTATTCTCTGTATGATATGTTGGGAAGATACCTACCAATAATCCATTGCACTCGCTGAGTAGGTTAAATAAATCTGTGAGCCCTCTCGTACGTCCCTCCCCCCTTTGTAATTGTTCTATTTCCTCTATATATTTCCTCTCGGTATACAGACTGCTTGTTCCCAGTAAATATTCAAGTTATTTCTTGAATAAATCATTGGCTTACGGCTATATCTCGTTAAATCATCGGTTCTTGTACGAAGTTAAACAAAGCAACGTCGCACCTGTTAAGACCGGGTGACCCTTTGGGTGGGGTAATGGATAACGATCAGGCGTTGAAAATCAGAGAGGTGTTTCAGTTCCAATTTGGTTCATTATATTTGCTTACTTTCATTGTTATATTTGCCCTTGAGTTAATTACTAAGACTTGTATCACTATATCATTATTAACTAAAATAAAAATAATCTTAGAATCTAAAAATATTTTCTGTCGTTAAATAACTTGTAAAGGGTTGATAAGCCGTATAAAACGAATCAATCAGAAAATTCTTGCAGTCTAAAAATATTTCTTGGCTTTAAATAACCTGCAAAATGTTTATATCCCATAAAAAAAAACATTATTATTATTCCTGAATCAATGAAGATTTCCTTGCAGTTAAAATTAAGTCGTATCTTCACTAGCAATATAAATGTAAAAAGATGTATATTTATGTTTTATGGATTAACAAATCAATTCTTTCTCTTTTTGTTTTCTTTTATCTTTTACTAAACGAGGTTTAGATGTCAGATAGATAATAAAAAAAACAGAGATAGATAGATAGATAGATAGGTAATGAACAGACTAAGATAGATAGATAGATAGATAGATAGATTGGTAATGAACATCGATAATGATATGGTTATAAAGGGTTTATAGTTATTAGACTATCGTTATAAAACATGGAAAACAGAAAGATTAGAAGACTTATAATGGCGAAAGAGTGGTGTCCCATACAGATAAGACCAAGTCTCTCTCCCTCTCTCTCTCTCTCTATCAGGATAAAATGAACTCTCACTCCCCCTCTCTCTCCCCTTTCTTTCCCTCTATCTCTTGTCTCTCCTCTCCTCTTCTCTCCTTCCCTCTCCTTTTAGCTCCTTCTCTCCCTTTCTTCTTCTTTTTCCCTCTCTACCCTCTCTCCCTCTCTACCCTCTCTTCCTCTCCCTCTACCTGCCCCACACTCTCTTCCCAATCTCTCTCGCCTGTTTCTCCTCTCCTTCACCTTCTTACCTTCTCTCTCTTAGCCTTCTCTTCTTCTTCTTCTCTCTCTCCTTCTCCTTTTTCTCTCTCCCTCTCTCTCTTCCTCTATCTGTCCCCACACTCTCTTCCCAATCTCTCTCCTCTCCTTCACCTTTTCAACTTCTCTCTCTTAGCCTTCTCTTCTTCTCTCTCTCGTTCCCCTTCTCTCCGCCTCTCTCTCTCCCTCTCTTTCTCCCTCCCTCTCTCTCGCTTTTGCCTCCCTCTCCTCCTCTCCCATCTCTCTCCTTTTCTCTCTCCCCCACTCTCTCTCTCCCTTCTCTCTCTCTCTCTTTCCCTGTCTCGCTGTCTCTCCCCCTCTCTCCCCCACTTCCCGTGTTTCCCAGTCCTGGATGGTTATGGTCCCTCCTCACATGCCAGCAATTTACACATTATTAGTTACTCGCCTTTGTTACACATTTCCTAGCACGCCTGATCTGCCCACAAATCTAAGACGTGGTGCTTTTATTTACGGCAACTCGCTCGTTAAAACGGAACACAGTTCTTTGGTGTTCAAGTCAAATTGCTTCAGATCGCGCTGGGTCCAGTTTTCTGCTTCCATTGAGCCAGCAGATACAGAATGGTGTCCAGTAATTTGCAGATAGAGGAATTGAGTAAATGAACTCGCTCTCTTTATCTCTTTAATGGATTATTTCACAGATAGATTGATATGAACATATGATAGATAGATAGATAGATAGATAGATAGATAGATAGATAGATAGATAGATAATGAAAAAATGAGATAGATAGATAGATAGATAATGAAAAAAACTTAGATAGATATATAGATAATGAAAAAATGAGATAGATAGATAGATAGATAATGAAAAAATGAGATAGATAGATAGATAGATAGATAGATAATGAAAAAATGAGATAGATAGATAGATAGATAGATAGATAGATAGATAGATAGATAATGAAAAAATGAGATAGATAGATAGATAGATAGATAGATAATGAAAAAAACTGAGATAGATAGATAGATAGATAGATAGATAATGAAAAAATAGATAGATAGATAGATAGATAGATAGATAGATAGATAGATAGATAGATAATGAAAAAATGAGATAGATAGATAGATAGATAGATAGATAGATAGATAGATAATGAAAAAAACTGAGATAGATAGATAGATAGATAGATAGATAGATAGATAGATAATGAAAAAACTGAGATAGATAGATAGATAGATAGATAATGAAAAAATGAGATAGATAGATAGATAGATAGATAGATAGATAGATAGATAGATAGATAGATAGATAATGAAAAAAACTGAGATAGATAGATAGATAGATAGATAATGAATAGACTGAAATAGATAGATAGATAGATAGATAGATAGATAGATAGATAGATAGATAATGAAACCATATGGGTTCATTATCTATATATCTATCTAATTTTCCTTTCACGTTGTACAGTTCTAATGAATTACAAACATCTCACCGTACACCTATGGTTAGCAAACTGGCCTTAAGTAGTGTCCAACTCCTACACGCTTGTGCCAAACTAATTCTAATTTTGGTTAACACGTGACTTCAGAAATCGTTCTGCAGGCCATGAAAATTGCATTGAATAAGATCCTCCTGGAAATGTCTGCACTCATGACCTTGCACCAGACTAAACAAGTGTGCCAGATAGGTTCACCGACCATTCCCCGCGTATGTATTTAATTCTTACCCATGTACCCTTTCTTAATATTATTCTTTATGTGCCATGTTCGTTAGGCAGTTATGGCCCTCCAAATCTTCCTGTCCCGTGTTACGCGTTGTTTTTTTTCTGTCCCTCTTTCACTCAATCCGTCCTGTGAGTATCAGATTTTCCAAGCCTGCCTTCCTCATTACGTACCTTAGAAATTTCATCTGCGTTGTTCCCATTTACCCTACGTTCGGTCCATGGTATCATCAGCATCTTTCTGTAGAACCACGTTTCTATTGCTTGAAGTCTCTTCTTCATCTTTGAGGAGATTGTCCATTATTCACTGACCTGGGTATGATGATAAACTACATCCGCGTCCAGGGTAAGGCAATAATCTACGTCCAATAAGCAAGGCCTCTGATCAGGTTTTGAGGAGCGTGGAACCACCTCTTAATTTCTGGTGTTCCCAGGTTCACCCTGACCCGGGGTGGTAGCACCTGTTAGGGTATCAGCTATGGGCAATTAGTTGACCTCCCCAAACTGGGGTCAAAACACTATGAAAGTGTAAAAATAGGTTTTAATACCAGCAATATATTTGGAGAAAATATTACCAGCAATACATTTTTGAAGGAAAAAAATATTACCAGCAATGCATTTTTTAGAAAAAAATTTAACCAGCAATAAAAATCTTGTTGGCATTAAATAACCCATTGAGGTTGATATGCCGTAAAACAAACCAAACCAAAATGCCATATAAGAGGACGGATATCACGTAACTGTTCAGTACTATTTTCTTTGTTTCTAAGGAAGTGTTTCTGTTTCTTAATACTCTGCTTAGCTTTTGGAAGGCATCTTTGGCGATCCCAATGCCTCTTCGGATTTCAGTGCTGCACTTTCCGCCCTCTGTTAAAACATTTCTCAGATATATTAAAATTTTTGTATTTGTTTGATTTTGGTATCACTGATTTTTAAATTGCACTTAGGGCTCATCCTTTTGATAACAGCCATGCATTCTGTCTTCTTGTTTATTTTAGTCCTTTCTTCTTGCTTTCGTTCGATATCTTCTGAAGGAGTCTTGTAGTTTTCCTTCCGTATCTGCTGTCAACACGGTGCAATCTGCATAAGTTGTTAAGACTGTGGACGCCAATTTTGAATGTTGGTAGGACGTCTAATTTTATCAGAATTGCTTCACTGTATAGGTTGAATAAGTCCGGTGAGTAGAGACATCCTTGTCGTACACCTCTTTCTATATTTGTGTATCTCATTTTCTATCCGTATGCAAGCGGTATAAGTGAGAAATATGCACTGAAAAAAAACTCGTATCATACGATCAATGCAATCATACACAAACAGAAAGTATAGAAAAATACCACTCGTTTCATTTTGTGTTGACCAAGAAGTTCTTTGTTACAAAGATCCAATTTAAGGATTTCTTCTTATGTACTGTGTCCCAACAGAATGTAAGCGACCATGTCCCTTCACAACTTCCCTTCCTGTAGCCTTAATAGATTTTGTCTTTTGTTATTTCTCCTAAACCTTATTCTAAGCCCATCAAACATGTTATGCGCTGTTTTTCCTCTGTCTTTCTTTCCTTCTTGTGAGTATCATATTTTCCAAGCTCTCCTTCCTCATTACACACGACAGGAATTTCAGCTGTCTCTTCCTGATGTTATGTTTCCATTTGTTTCCATCAAGTACCTCATCGTTGCTGACATGTTCGGTGCATGGTATCCTCAGCATCTATCTGTAGAACCATATATCTGTAGCTTCAAGTCTCTTTTTCATCTTGCAACATTCACTGCCATATAGGGGGATAGATGTCACGTAAGAGTTCAGTAGTCTTTTTTTTTCTTTCTTTCTAACGAGGTTTTCCTGTTTCTTAATACTCTGCTTAGCTTTTGGAAGGCATCTTTGGCGATCTCAATGCGTCTTCGGATCTAAGTATCGCACTTTCTGTAATCTATTTCATTAGGCAATGTAACATAGGAGAAAAAAACGGTTCGAAGACCTGTCGTAAACCACGACTATATATCGGGAATTCGAACCTCACTGGGTTCCTTTATTATAGTAAAGCTTATTTCTTCATAAAAATTGATTCTAATTAGTCGCTCTAGTTTTTTGGCCTTGTATCAGACTAATGTATCATTCTAGGAGAGTAAGGGTTAAAGATCCTATCACGACTACATATCGGGAATTCGATCTTCACCGGATGCTCCACACTTGAATTATTCTTAATTTTAGTTTTGTAAAGATTGCTTCTCTGTGGATGCTCTTTGATTGTGGCCTTGTACCAGACTAATGTATCATTTGAGGAGAATAAGGGTTAAAGATCCTATCACGATTACATATCGGGAATTCGATCTTTACCGGATGCTTCACACTTGAATTATTCTTAATTTTAGTTTTGTAAAGATTACTTCTCTGTGGATGCTCTTTGATTTTGACCTTGCACCAGACTAAAATATATACATGTAATTAAAAAAAAAACTGTGAGTAATAGTTAGAAATTCTGTCGCGTCTCGATACTACACATCGGAATTTCGATTCTCACTGTGTGCCTCGCATTTGATATTTGCTAAAGCTTAGTTTGATAAATGTTGATTCCTCATGAGGGGCCGGACCCATGGCCTTGTATCATACTAAATAAGTCTATAGAAGTGTTTAAATATCCCGTTACGCCACTCTAATACGTACCATGATTGCGATTCTCACGGGGTTCCTTGTACTGGAGGTTAATTTAAATATAATAAATATTGATTCTCCATGGAGGCCCCAGGTCTGTGGCCTTATACCAGACTAAGTTAATCTTAGTTAATATCAATAACTTGCAAACGCTGTACACTTACGCCATCACTAATGATGCCTCACTGTAAACCCATATGACGTAGAAAAATTAATATCAACACAGAAAAAGGAGTTGCGACATTCTGACTGGCAATTACGTTATATTCATAGAACGGAAAAGCAGCTCTAATACAATCAGCAGTTGAAGTCAGCGTGGCCGTGGTGTTAATGTTGGTGGTGTTGGCGTTGATGCCGGTGAAGGTGTTGTTGGCAATGTGGGGCTTGGGCATTGGTGGTGTATTGTCGCCAATTACTTGACGGCCAGCTGTGCTATTAGCTAACATGGTGGCAGTTTTCTTCTCATTAGGCGGAGCACCCTGGGGCAGCAGCGTTCACGATGCTGACCAACTAATTATCGGTGGATCGGTGGCTCGCGTTTGGATGCCCGCATTCCGGAATCAATAAACGAACGCATTCTTTTATTCTTTCGTCTCGTTGCATAACATTTCCTTTCCGACCATTCTTTTTCTTATCTATCTATTTATCTATCTATCTATCTATCTATCTCTCTCTCTCTCTCTCTCTCTCTCTATATATATATATATATATATATATATATATATATATATATATATATATATCAGACTCTTCGTTCTTATCTATCTATCTATCTCAGGCTCTTCGTTCTTTATCTATCTATCTCAGCCTATTCATTTCTTTCTATCTATCTATCTATCTATCTATCTATCTATCTATCTATCTATCTATCTATCTATCCCAGCCTATTCATTTCTATCTAACTTAGGCTCTTCGTTCTAATCCATCTCTTTATCTATCTATGATGCTAGCTATCACAGCCTATTCATTTTGTGTATGTATACATGTATGTATGTATGTATGTATGCATCTATCTATCTATCTATCTATCTATCTTTATATATATATATATATATATATATATATATATATATATATATCGACCTGTTTATATCT